AGACCAAAATGGGATTTTTGTCTTGTTTGATAATATCAGACTCGGAAAAGAAGCTATGAACATCGTTAAAATCAACTTCAGTCAATTTTGATGGGTCTGCTTCCTTAATGTACTGATTAATTGTTTTGCCTACAATAAAAAAGTTTATTCCTACCTCTGCAGCAATTCTCAAATTTGAATATTCACACTTTTTTATTTTCTTAGGTTGCAAACATTCTCCATTCTTTTCAAATCCCCAATGCGTCCTCTCATCACTCACACAAAATATTGTTCAACATTTCTTGAAATGATAAAAATCAAACTCATCCTCTCTTTAGTCTTCTCTACTCTCTCCCCAGTCTCTCAAAAATAAACTTTTTGGCCAGACTCAAGCCTGTAATCCCAGGACTCTGGGAGACCAAGGTGGAAAAATCACTTGAGATCATGAGCTCAAGACCAGCTTGGGAAACATAGTGAGACCTCATCTCTACAAAAAAATAAAAAACCTTAGCCAGAAGTGGTGGAGCATGTCTGCAGTCCTAGCCACTGAGGTGGCTGGGTGGGCGGATTGCTTGAGGTTGAAGTGGGAGGATAGCTTCAGTCTGGGAGCCAGTGGTGATGGCACTACTGCACTCCAGCCTGGACAAGAGAGTGAGACGCTGCCTCAATCAATCAATCAATCAATTAACTTTTTTCATGCAATCTCTTTTTTCCCTTACACTTATACTCTTTTCCATTCCTAATATAACTGACTATTTCGGACCCTTCTTACTTTTCAGTGAACTACTAAAACAGCTACCAAACTAATTTCCGCGCCTCTAGTTTCTACCACAACCAATCCATACTGAAATCTCTCCCATCTGAAGAACTCACTCTTGAGCAAGGCAAACAGTGCCAAAACCCAGCTAATTTATTTTTATACTTTTATCTCCTAATACTCTCCTGTACAAAACCTTCCACTGTATCAAAAAAGGAAAAAATTTAATCAAAGCTCCTAAAATGCCATATCAATTGTCCCACTGGTTCCTCAATTGCCAAAAGAAGGAAAGCACACTCCAAGAAGCATGTAATAAACCAGTGCCTTCAGGGACCGACAACTCCATGTCATAGAACCAAAGAGGTAAATGAATTGATACTATTTATTTGAACTGCTTTTAAATTCTAAAGATACCAAGACAAAAATATCATAACAATCTTTTTTAAGGGAGCTAAAATAAGTGGGCAAAGTTTGAGACAACATTCCAAGCAAAAAAAATAAAATAAAATAAAGCTTAAAATATAAGAGTATATGCTTTTGAGTCCAACAAACATGTCTTCAAATCTTAGCTCTGCCTCTTACAAGCACTGTGACCTCAGGTTTCTTACTTAAGACTCAGTTCAGGGATGATACTATCTCCCACTAGTCCTGGAATGATTTGAAAATAAAATGAAGCAAGCACAGAAATCACCTAGTAGAGTGCCCAGTGCATGGTAAGAGTGAAATAAAGAGCTTTTTAAGGTTATAATTACTGAGGTAGCCTCAGATCCAGAGAAAAGGCTAGTTAAGGAATAGGTAGTTGATAGAGAAAAGCAGTAAAAGGGAAAAGGATTAAGAAATATACACAGACTACTTGTGTCATCTGTAGAATTCAATAAATTCACTAAAAAGTATATAGCAAAACCAATCTTCAAGGCCCTTGATTAGATTCCCATGTAAAGCTTGATTTCTTTAGATATAATGAGGTAGATACACAAAATATACCTAATGTTCCTTTCAGCTCTAACCTTCAAGAAGTCTGTAAGAACTGTGGTAAACCAGAATCCTAGAAGTTATGAATGTTCATCACCTTTACATGGTTAAGTGCTTCTGTATTTCACTAAACATATGAGGGCTTACTGATGTTTCATTGATCTCACAAATTTTGGTAACAGAACAACAATTAAGCCCCAAATAAAAAACATTACAAGCTGGACCTGACAAGTACATTATCACTCTTATGTGAACCCAAAGTTAGGAGTATTCAGAACCCCTAAAAATGCTCAGGGGCAATTCAAAAAGTAAAAGATAGAAATTTAAAAGAAATAAAAAAGATCTGAACAGGAATAGGAGGTTTGTAATTGAGTCAACAGACAAGACAGCGTTGAGAAGACTAAAAAAAAAATACAGTATTTCAGAATGGCAAAATGAGTCAGCAAGACTCTAATCTAACTACAAGCTACAAGCTACTTTAGAAGAAACTCAAAACTTCTTATTCCCAAGTCAGGTCTTCATTGTAGGGAGTTCTTTTATATACTTAAGATATTCACAAATCTATCCTTTCTCTAAAAAGCTAAAATCAAATTATAATTCTATACCCTCTTTCTATATGAACCATGGTTAAAGGTTGTACTAAATGTAATTAATATTTAACATGCCTATTTATCAGACTTTTTCATTGTAATTTCTAAGTCTTTCAGATTGGCTTTCACATCTAAAAAAGGATTCTTCTCTTTCACACATATTCAAAATCACATCTGTAGGCTTATTTCTGAATGAACTGCTTTAAACACATACTTTTATCAGCTTTCATGTTTGTAAACTGTGAGGATTGCATGTGTGAAATTATAGTAAGTTTGTAGTATTCTAAATTTATCAGTGACAACATTGGCCGGGCATGGTGGCTCACGCCTGTAATCCCAGCACTTTGGAAGGCAGAGGCGGGCAGATCATGAGGTCAAGAGATCGAGACCATCCTGGTCAACATGGTGAAACCCTGTCTCTACTAAAAATATAAAAATTAGCTGGGTATGGTGGCATGCACCTGTAGTCCCAGCTACTCGGGAGGCTGAGGCAAGAGAATTGCTTGAACCTGGGAGGTGGCGGTTGCGGTGAGCCGAGATCTCACCACTGCACTTCAGCCTGGCGCCTGGCGACAAAGCAAGACTCTGTCTCAAAAAAAAAAAAAAAAAGTGACAAGATTGTCTTCTCCCACTTATTTAAAGACATAAAAAAGGACCCTGCTCATCAAGTATCCAGCAAAAAAGTACTTATTTCTATCAAAACTTAAATGTGTATACTATAAGACCTGGCATAATATCTGAAGCTACTAGGGGAAAACATAGGGGAAACACTTCAGGATATTGTGTTAGGCAAAGACTTCATGAAGAAAAACCTTAAAAGCACAGGTAACAGAAGCAAAAAATAGACAAATGATATTATAGCAAACTAAAAAGTTTCAGCACAGCAAAAGAAACAACCAGCGGAGCAAAGAGACAACCAACAGAATGGGAGAATGTATATGTAAACTAATCATCTGACAAATTATTAAGATCCAGAATATACAAGAAACTCAAACAACAGCAAAAACATAAATAATACTATTTCAAAATGGGCAAATGAGCTGAATAGACATCTCTCAAAAGAAGACATACAAATGGCCAATAGGTACATCAAACAATGCTCAACATCACTAATTACCAGGGAAATGCAAATCAAAACCACAGTGAGATATCATCTCACCCCAGCTAGAATAGCTTTTATCAGACAGACAAAAACTAACAAATGCTGGCAAGGATGCAAAGAAAGGGGAACTCATACACTGTTGGTGGGAATGTAAATTAGGATAGCCATTATATAAAAAATAGTATGAAGGTTCCTCAAAAAAGTAAAAATAGAACTGTCATATGATCCAGCAATCCCACTACTGAATATATATCCAAAAGAAAAAAAATCAGTATGTCAAAGAGATACATGTTTATTGCAGCACTATTCATAAGAGCCAAAATATAGAATCAACCTAAGTGTCCATAAACGAATGGATTTAAAAATATGGTATACATACAAAATGGAATACTACTCAGCCATGAAAAAAAGAACAAAATCCTTTCATTCAAGGCAATATGGATGGTCTTGGAGAACATTATGTTAAGTAAAGTAAGTCAGGCACAGAAAGACAGATGGCTCATGCTCTCACTCATATTGAAAGCTTAAAAAACTGATCTCATAGAAGTAGAAAGTAGAATAATAATTACTAGAGGCTGAGAAGGATAGGTAAGGCTTCGGGGCTGACAGCCAGAGGTTGGTTAACAAACAGCTAAATAGGAGAAGTGTTCCATAACACTTTAGGGTGATTATAATCAACAAGAATTTATCACATATTTTCTAATAGCTAGAAGAGCAGATTTTGAATGTTTCCAGGGCAAAGAAATGATAAATGTTCGAGGTGATGGATATACAGATTACCTTTATTTAATCATTACATATTGTATATATGTATTGAAATATCACAGTGTACCCATAAATACATACAATTGTGTGTCAATTTTTAAAAAAACAAAAAATTTGGCTAAAAATTCTTAAATTTGTATTGTTAACCATATATTATATAAAACAACATCAAAATGATAACTCTATAACCTAAAGTTTAAACAATTTTTCTATTTACATATATCATGTAAAACTACTTCATCATTTTGGTCATACTAAATATTTAAGGAACTACAGAAGACTATAATATAAAATGCAAATGAAATAAACTCATCCAGTAGTCTTACATGCCATTTTTTTTTAAAAGTAAAGCTATATGTAAGAACTATTTTAAAATAAGAAAATATTGATAATTCAACTTCTATACATAAATTACTCAGATATTACTCTGACAAAGAGAAATGACCACTTATTCATGGCAGTAACAATTATTTCTAAGTACACAAAAATAAGAGTATATTCAACAAAAATTTCATACTGTCAATTTTTTAATTATTTTTAATGTTTTCAAATATATATTCTATAGATAAATAAGTATAAAATATGTTGGAAAGTTTAAACATCTAGTCCCTGTGAGTTTCAATAAGGGCTTCTTCATCACCCATCTACTTGGTAACTTTAAAAGATTCTTCCATACATCCTGCACACATGCATTTTGTTTCTCACAGCTGATCAAGAGAAAATAATTTTAGCAATCCAGGTTCACTAGTAGTTACACTAGCAACAGCAGCAGTAATAGTGGCAATAATCATAATACTTCAACTTTAAATTTCAAAAACAATTATGTGATACCAACCTGGTCTCCAAAGTCCTCTGGGAATTTCCACAATACCACAGGATCTGTAAATAATTGACATGTATAATTAAACAGAAGCAAAAGAACATATTTAAAGAAACAGTTTTGGTTAAGTACTCTTAACTTTAATTACAACATTTAAATTTTTCTTTAAACATTTATAGTTGATGACATTCACTTCTCTTCTTTTCTATAATTAAATATTTTGATTTTTTAAATTTAATGACCTTTGAAATAGAAATAAACGACATTAATAACTTGGTCAGGTTATTCAAAATCATTACTGTATTTCTTTTAGCAACTCACTTTTTATTTACCTATCTTAGCTTTTTAAGATTCTAAACTTTGAATTTCCTATTTTAACTACACTTTTAAAATATTGGTTTTAATTTGAAAAGAAAAATATAAATGTAGCAAATATGTAATAAAATGCATTAGAGCCCTCAGGACTAGACCAAAATATACCTTAAATATCCATTTAAAATTCCAATTAAGATTTACAAAACTGTAATAATATTTGCCTTATATCTGTTTTTAAATCTCATATTTGCAGTAATAATAAGTTGGTAAGTAGATATAAAGCAGCTCATTTAAAATATAATTGATATTTGCAGGGCATTTCACAGAAATTTTTCTAACATGTTATATCTAGTAATTCATATATATAAATCAGTATTGTTTTATAGATATTCACATCAGCTTTTCATTTTCTTTGTTTTTCAAAGTATTTCTCGTCTACTTAGCACAATAAAATGCTAAGATCTTACTTTAGTAAGCACTAATAAATATTTAGTCACATACTTATTTTTTAATTCTGTCAAAAACAAACTTCTGAATATTTCAAATGTGTTTTAAAGGGTAGTGCATAATGTATTATTTCTTCTGGGGAAAAACACACACACACACTTGAAAGCCCAAGATAAGACTAATATGAGTAACAAGTACCACCCATATGACAGGGTTTGAACTCCACTCCAAGTAAAAGGACTTGTGAACAAAAAATAACATTTTATATATGAATCGGTGAAAACTTATAGCTTGATTCCATTATTTGCACTATTCCATACTACTTTCGTAAAATCACAATCTAAATATATATTTCAAAACTTTTAAAACCCAACAAATGCCTAGCAACATTCTTAGCATGAGCTGGCTCCTCTTATGTTTGCACTTAAGTTCCACAAAATGTTTTTCAGGTATTTTAAATTAAAAAAAAAAAAGTAAGCTTTCTACAATTAAACTTTTTATTTATTAAGGACTAAAAATTTTCAATATAAATGGTAAAAGTCAATAATTTAAAATATATAAGAATAATGCATTACCAATTTATGAAGGTAATATTCAATTATATACTCACATAAAACAAAATGTATACATTTCTAAAATGAATGTGGAATGCATTACACATCACCTAAAGACACTCAAACATCAATGTCTTGTGGATAATTATGTTCCCAGTTAGAAAAAAATAGACATATCTTTATATGGCAGTTTTACCAAAATGGTAGGAGCTAAGATTTGGATCTCATAAAAGTGCATGACAGAATTTTCACAAAATACTAAATGAAAGTTTTTATCTTCATGAAGTAACACAATTACTAATGGCTACATAAACCAATTCTCATGCAGAAATACAGAACAGTTCTTTCTCGTGAATAATGAAACTAAAGGGTTTCAATGTGAATATTTAAAATATCCTTTTTAAGTAATCTCAACTTTGTAATTACTATCTGAGAAAATATTTGTGACAACTTTCTTACAACTAGGTCTTAAATAAGAATATTTATGTTATTGTATAGCTTAGAGTTGGCCCTTGCTGCTTGTAACATTTACCTAAACATGTTTTGCTGCCTGACTTTTCCTCACTACCATTTTTTTTCCTGTATACTCTGTTTTTTCAGAGGGGGAACAAATAAGTACACAAAACTGCATCTATTGGTTCAATCACAAAGTAGAAAATATCCCAGTTCTTTTCATGAAATGAATTTCACCATTCAGGACTCAAAAAATTATTATAATCATGTGCATCCATATTTTGAAATGGATTAACTTAGTTACTGCCTATGTGATTAGCTTTAGACCACATCTGACACATCTTTGTAACAACTTTTCAGAAGTACTGCAAAGGAAGAAACAAAAGGGCTCTGAAAAAAATAATCCGATTCAACAACTTTATGCACAAAGGCTGAATTTTCTGTTCCCTGAGGATTACTTTCCAGATACTCGATCTGATCTGGCAATGTTAGGTCAACTTTATGCTGATTTTATGGGTGAAAGGATGAGAACTGCTGGTGGGAATCATCGTTGCCAGTTATGACTGATATACACTGTGTTTCTCTTCTTTCCAATGTCTACAAGTAAATCAAAGAAGACTCTGTATCTTAACTTAAAAATAAAAGAAACTTACTGCCAACAATCTAGACACCAAATAAATATGAAAGGAATAATATTTGATTTTGACATAATATAATGAATCTTTTAGTTTAATAAGAGATAATGTTACAATGTAGTAAAAAATATGAATTTTTATTAAATCAGTAACTTTAGAAGGTGAATATTTACAGTATGATTGCACGGCATCAATATAAGGATTCCAATTCACTATTAAGGCTTTTTTAAATGGAAAGTAAGACAAAGTCAGTAAGTAATATTTTCTTTCCCAATAAAATATTTCACATTTCCTGGCCCTTAACTGAAAAATTAAAATAACTTAGACTACCAGTGTGATTTTACTATACTACAAAAAAAGCAGGAAAAAAATTCCAGTTTGCACAAAAGGATAGTATTTCCTTAATTCTTTGGAATTCAAAAATGACTAAATATACAGTATCTTCAGATTTATGCATTTGTAAAAAGCCAGTTCAGAGACTACATACTTTTGGAAAAGTAGAATGTATAATACTAGTATTTTGCTTGATTATGGGTTTCAGTGCCTGATATACACACACTGCAGAAGAATATGTATGAAGAAATTCAGGTCAAAACAATGAGGAGTGTGATTTACTCCTGTGGCTAATGTCAGAGGTTACAGCTTTCTTAGTTGAGATGTGAGGACCACATATTTTAAATAATTTCCAATAATTCACACATTTTCGTTGCCCTTTTAACTTAAGTTCAATTTATTTCATTCAAAAACCTATGCAGTGCTAAAGCAAGAGGAAAAGTCCCTGCCTTACAATGCCCTACAATACTCACGGAGAGAAACATCAAAGAGTGATTTCATTACTGTGCAAAATACTCTTTTAAGTGAGGTACCCTGTAGGAACATTTGAATTCAAAAACTCATTGGCTTAAAAATGTTAAAAAAAAATTCCTAATGAATCAATCATGTTTTCTGAATATAAATGAGCAAAAATCATTAAAGAAAATGTGTAATTTTTTGGTAACGTATGATTTTTATTCTTTCACGTATGGACATACAATGGTGAACTAAACAAAACAAGGTCTACCACTTACAGAAAAGAGGAGCATCTAAACATAAAACTTAATGCATTTTTATGATACTAAAAGAAAGGGTGCTGCAGGAGCACACAATAAGGAAATCTAATTTAGAGAGTCACTAATGGACTTCAAAAGGAAAGGACATAAATGAACACAAGTTAGACAAGCTAAGGATAATCTGGGCTATAAAGTGGGCAGGGAGAACTTTCTAGAGTGAAGAACCAGTATGTATGACATCTTGAAGGTTAAAAGAAAGCAGAATACCTTTTAGGAACTGAAAAAACATCTAACATATCTAGAATGTGAGAGATTCTCTAGGGATAAAGCTGGATTAGCAAGGGAAGCCACTGAAGCAGACGGTGGTATAAACCAAGTGAGAAAGAACCACCAGAAAGGAAGAATGCAGCTAGTGTGTGTGATGCTATCAAAGCCAAGGGAAGAGGGTGTGTCTAAAAGAAATCCTCAAACAAATGCTGCAACACACCGAGAGACAATGACTGAAGAATGGCAACTATGTTTAAAGACAACGCCACCGTAAGATGAGTCTCAGTGAACGGGTAGGAAGGAGGTGGCCAATTTAAAATTATGGAATGAGTGAGGATGAGGAAAGACAGGCCGTATGTACAGAGGCAATTTACTTAAGAAAGGATGCACAAAGCAGAGGAAAGTAGACAGAAAGATTAAACTGGAGAGATTAGTTTTTTTCTTTTGACTGGTATAGACGAACATGTTTAAAAGGCTATGGGAATTAATAAGCTAGCAGAGAGCCAGCAAACAAGGAATACACGATCCCTGAGAAGACAGGAAGAGTTGTAATTCAGATCAAGTCAGTAAGAGGAGCCTAAAACAGAAGCTGAAGTATGTTTTCCACTGTTACAGAAAAAGAGAAGAGGAAAAAGAGACATAAAGCCAAGTACATTCATAGTGCAAAGATGCAAGTTTTGTGAAAAAACTGCAAAGATTTTTCTGTATAATAAGAAGCTCTCTAGAGCAAGGCTTTCTGCTAAAACACACACAAAAAAAGCTGTTGAAGCTTTAAGGAAGAGGTATGAAATATCTGTTTCAGGCAAAGCTGAGTTCTCAATATAGGTAGATATCCAACATGGCATTTAATGGCAGCAAAACAGAATTTTGCCCAATTGGTGGATTCCGTCAGGGTGAGGTTTCTCCCAGTCATGTGGATGGAAATATAATCTAAAAGAGTGACTACAGATCTGAATTATGTATCTAAAACTAATAAAAAGGAAGTTATAGTTTCTAAAATGTCCATTAATATTATATGTTATACCAAACCATGCAAATGTATTTTAAAATAGCATATTTTCAGTTAAAAATCTACTACATATATCTGAAGACTGTAGGACTGAGAAATAAGATGACATAAATTAATGAAAGTATATGTAGAATTACGAAATCACATAGCTGAAGTTCTGGGTTTTCTACTTACGAATAACACAATGCTTTCTGTCTATGATAAGAAGCAGGTTTTGAAAAACAGCAAATCAGTTTCCTTCTCTCTTTCTCTCTCACTCTCTACGTTGATCTTAAAAGAGTCTCATTTGTTTATCCAAGTGTACTATATAAATATCTTTTTTTACATGCT